ATTCTGATATAATCTATACACACTTGTTGACAGAATAGATATTTTCAACACCATTCCGTTTTTAGATTCACATTTGGTATCAATCCACTCCTGACTAAAGAATTGCTGTCTGCTTAAGATATATTTATGAATGAACACCATAAACAACAAAAGCTGTGCTGATTGGCTGCACTTGGGCTCTCCACGGAAGCTTCACGTTTCTGTCTCAAAACAAAACAGCGGTTCTAAAGACGTTTCCCAAATGAAATAGTGTATGTGGAAATTAATGACGTGCCAAAGGGTTTGTGACAGCTTCAAACAAGTTAAAAGGACTTCCTGCTTTCCCGACACGAGAGTCTAGAATCTCATCTTTAAGACAGCCGTGGCACAGTGACAGAGTATTTGCACATAAACCAGAAATCTACTTGATCTTGATCCAAGCCTTGATCTTTGCATATTGTCGTCATTATACCGCAGTGACTTTTCTCTGCACCTATCTTTTTGTATGTTCCTGCGTCTCTATCTCGAATAAGAAATCTCTTGAGAAACCTAGTGACTTTCAAAAACAATTGGAAGCCTTGGACCAGGGATGAAAAAAAGTGAGAAAATATTTGTTATCCAAAAGAAAGCAGGACACGAGTCTCTGCATTTCAATAGTGTGGATTCAGCCGACGGGAAACAGCACGGCAGGTGGCCATTACTTAAGGCTAATCCACAGACAAACATGATGCAAAGTCATTCTTAAATATCATAATTCCCAACAAGAGCTCCTCCAGCGTTTCAATATTACATCAAAGCCTTCCTAAATTGGACTCTCTATGAGTTCCGGTCTTGGCTAAAGCTGCGTTGTTGACTTTTTAGCATTTATTTTGGCAAGGTGACCCAAAGGTTGTTTGGGACTTGTTGAGAATCTCCTGTTGTCTGCCAAAGCTCCCCAAAGTGCGCCAAGGTAGGATAGGGCAGTAATTTGGCCACAATCAAGCTTAATGCCTTTTCGGTTTTCCCTCTTTTTTTCTGTACACACACACACACACACACACACAAACAATTGCTGGACATGGCTTGTGCTTGTGCCAGGATTTGCTTCGTCCCATTTGGGGATAGGGAACATTAGGAGCATCCCCGTAGCTGCAGCTGCCACACGGACGGTGGCTCCAGGGATGACCCCACAGCCTGGCAAATGATCCCAAAGCTGAAGCAGAGCAAGGACACAAAGAGAGAAGATCCGCTATCAGCAATTTCTCAGCCGGCAGGTCCCTGGGTCCTCGGCGAAGTTGGTGCCAAGTTGGACGTTGTGGTCATCATGCTCATTTCTCCCACATTAACTCCACTAATGTCTGGTAAATAGAGAGATCTCTGAGCAGAACGGACACAATGGGAAGGTGGTGTTTCCTCCTGGCTTGTCCACTAAACTGAGGACACTGATTTGCATATTGGATTAGGTTATTTGTTCAGCCTTGATAGGTGTAACCCTTGTATATCTGCTAAAGGGTAAAAGGGTAAACTGAGATGTAGTGATGTCATCCTAAGTGACCCCTATTAATCAGGTTCAATTCATTCTCAATTGGTTTGGGGCTTGAACAAAAATATACAAAGTAAGATTTATAGGATCTACAAATACACTGTGTAGGTTATAGGTGCTGTTTTTGACTCTTTTTTGAACCTTCTCATTGGACCTTCCTGAAGTCTTAAAGGCCCTGTACCCCAATCGATGTCATCTTGAAACTTTTTATTTTTCAATTATTTTTTTCCTCTATATTTATACACATGATGATAATGTATCGGTTTTATATAGCGCTTTTTTGGACACTCAAAGACGTTTCACATGTCTTATTTTTCATTCACTCCATACACGGTGGTGATAAACTACTACTGTAGCCACAGCTGCCCTGGGGCACACGGACAGAAGCGAGGCAACCAGTATGTGCCATCGGCTGATTACCAACCATTCACACACACACCAGACTCATTCCAGGCAATGGGGTGAAGTGTCTTGCCTAAGGACACAACAGCAGTTTGGCACTTTACAGACGCCCCACTGTGGCATCAGGTGTTATCCAGAGGTTAAGTGCCTTGCCAAGGACACAACGAACCCACGACCTTCTGGCTCAAAAGGCAATGCTCTACCAACTGAGCTACTGTCGCCTTTGATGAGTAACCAAAACAATTAGAACGTTAAGATCATCAAGAAGAGCGAGATAACAATCACCAGCACATGAGCAACGTACTAGAAATTAGCTTAAATTAATGGGCTCTTCACTGACACAAAACTTCAACAGCGTTACAATTACGGCTCATTACTATATATCCCTAGAAAAGTGTTTTTCTGGTAACAGTCCTATTCATATTCACAGCAAGGTGGCGCATTACTTGGCACTTTTCCCTCACATCAAGAAGGTCATTGGTTTAATTCCTATGCAGTGCAAGGTATTGTGTATGTGTAGCAGGTGCTAAGGTTCCCCCAATGTGGGTCAGCTTGGCCCATTGACAAACCCGCAACCTCATCCATCCAATTTCTATGTACACCATGTTTGCATATTGGCAAGTTACTACCCTTACAGTGAGTTAAACAGGCTTGGCACCGGCACAACCGCTCTTCGATCAGTCAAAAATGCTCAGTATTATGAGGAATTATTGCTATGCGCGATGCCAACCTGCTTTGAAAATCTTGGGCACTTCTGCCAGCTTCTAACCATGACACCCCCCAATCTCGTCCTCATTTTTCATACATCCCCAGTGAGTCGCCACACCTGGGTCCCTTCTCTCACTGTGCTTCTTGCCCCCGCAGGCACCCCCTCACATTGAAATACACCAGGCCTGGCAGAGCACCACACAACACTAGCTCCTCACACTCCACCACATGTGCACACCAGCCCAATAAACACTTCCACCATTGCAGAAGCGGTCCCTATATATGTAACGCTACACCTTCACGGCTTTGGCAAGTGGGTCACCGAGAGCCCCACAAGAGTCAGAGCGAATCAAAATCGGTTTAGCTTGTCGTTCCTGTGAATACATGGAGGCATAATTTGATCCAATTAGGTAAATAAATAAACAATATGCCTTCTGTTGCATGGCCTTAATGCACTTATAATGCAGCCCCATCCCCCTACGAGTAACCAGGCTGCCTCTTACCACTAAACCCCGCAGTTCACCACCTTCCATTTGCAAAGTATTTATGAAATGTAATTGCATTAGCGGAAAAAATAATATACTTAACAAATAATCTTCTCAAACAGATAAAGCGTGTTTGCATGGGCAGTAATCATCAATTAGGATAAAACCGGGGACTAATAATTATTACATGCAGCAATTTAGAAAGTGATAACCCAACATTTTTGTTAATCACAAAAATGATCATGAAATAAGTTGTTGACATCAAAGTCTGAGAAATATTCAACACCGCTTTACGCATGTGGTTTTTTAAAATTCATCACTGATGGAGTTGTTTTGAACCCATTTGTCCATAAATGTGTTTTGGTTCAGTGTCACAGGCAGACATTGAAATTGGTGAAATGATTAGAAATGGAAATGTAGCTATTACATAAACACATTAATTGTATTAGTTCTGAAATCACGTAATTCAGTTGTTATACTTTGTCTCTAAAACTATTCATCTGGCATGCTCATTTGTGATATTGCAAAGTGGTTTTAACACCATTAAGTGGATTAAATGTGACAGACATGGCAACTTCCACTGTTATTTTTCTTTCCGTTTTTTATTTTTTTTATTTTATTAGTTGTAGCTGTGGTCTTGTTGAGGTCATGGACAATATTTATTCAGCAAGTTTAGAAAGGTGCAATAAGGAACATCTGGGAAATGTTGAGAGAAATAGAAAGAAAATAAGCAACGCACCAGTCTGCTAATCTGTGGAGACGAAAAATCACATGTTTTTCTACATCTTCAACACGGTCAATAGATACAGATCAGTTGAGTGAGCCTCCAGCCAACTCATCAGAAATGTTACATAATGTAGCTTTAAATGAAAGTATAGATGAGATGTGGTGCTATAGAAAACTCATTATTTTTCCACTGCACTGCCTCTAGCTTTTATAACATTGACATTTGCATAACAATTTCCAACTTTTTGACATGGGAATTGCCTCTCTCACCTCTCCCATTGCCTCCATGTCCCGGTGATTTCAAAGACTTAAGATAAACCCCATAATCATTGTGGGAATAGCGCAATAATAGGATCTATATTAAATCCAAGCTATATCCCGATGACTGGTCGTTAGGGTCACACATGAAGAGCCTGCAGCCATAAAACAGCTCTTTATACATCAAGTGGCCGTAAGGTGATAGAACAACACTATCAGGGTAATTACTGAGGAGGCTGCAGCATTACATAAATAAAGACGTGCATGCATAGTGGCCCTCAGTGCACGCTGCAAACAGATTTCAACCATTAGTGATTATTTATAGACAAGTAGAGACACGATTAGGAATAGGTTTGACGCTGATGTATCATGTGCGTTTGGAATAGTATGAGTGGATAAAATAAGAAATGTGATAACTGCTTCTGTAAACGCGGTATGTGTTGTATGTCTAGAGTTGGTGTTCATATAATTTCCCATCTCCATCAAATGCACGCCTTGCTTAGTCAGAAACTGAGCATCTTTAAATGGAAAATCAATAATCCACAAGGTTAATTCCACAGACTATTTTGATAAGGCTGATTTGTTTCACTTAGCACCGTGGAGGCCATGCCAATACAGCCTTATTTAAATCACATATTGTCAGATTTGGGTAGGAAATAGCCGTATAGCATCCCTTGAAGCAACAGCACGGGTCAAGCACGATGAGTTTTGTTGTTCCACCATTTTATTTTCTCCTCTTTTCTGGGTGTGTGAGCGGTAGCGCGGTGACAGATGGCGGGTCCCTCCTCCTCCACCCCCTCCTCCTCTGCCTCTCTCTCTCTCTCTCTCTTCCCCCGGGGAGGGCAGATCTCTCCGAATGCGGGCGCATGTCAATCACGGCGCTCTCATGTGATGGCTCTTGCCGGTGACGTGCCAGCCATATGGGCGCTGGCATCACGGCCGTAGCTGGTATGTAACCTCGTCCTCCGGTAGCGCACACGCAGACACACGTTCTTACACACGTATACGCACCCGTTAAGACGCACGGTTCGTTCACAGGCGACGCTCAGTCCGGGTGCGCTGTGGGAGAGCAAGGATCTGACGGTGCGAGAGAGACGCGCCTCACTCAAACAAGCGGTGGTTCGTTGTTCCCTGAAGATGGTCTGAAGTTTTTTTTTTCTCTCCCTTTTTTTTTCTCAACCTCCTGTTTCTTGCAAAGAGCTTGAGCAAAGGTAAGTGAAGCCGATGTCTATTTCAGTCAAATACACAGTAAACAATGTGTGATTTATGCAATGTTTTAGAGACGCTCTAGGCCTTTTTAGCAATCCTTATGGGATTATCTGGCACCCTGGAGTTTGATATCGATCCACGGGGTGCAGGTTGTGTCCAATGTGAACATGGCACACTCAGAGGCGATTTTTAGAAAGTGTCTGGCATCTTGCGTCCAACATGCATTTACAAAAATAAGAAAATAATTTTTCCTATTGATGCCCTTCAACTTTTGACATGGACATTAGATACACATCAATGTCCAATGCAGTTGACAAGGCGTGCATCATTCACGCTTCAAATATCTCCACTATGGACGCAGACGCTGATGGTCAGTACTAATTTGATTTAGAGATTGCAATCGCGTTACATGATCCAAACAAAAGATGGGGAGGAAATGGCTCATCATTTTGTCTCTTTCGTGGACGTGAGGCGGCAGGAGACCAGAGGACGTCCTTGCGCCTTAATGGGAGATTTATTGATGGTTTTGTTGCTGATTTGCGCGTTTACTCTCGGCCCAAACGAAAGGGAAGGACAGCGACATTGAGTGTGTGACAGCCTGTGATTTATCTTGTATTAGTTTGCTTTTGCATCAGGCGTTTTCAATGAGCATTTCTATTTTTAACGAGGGCTAAGAGGCTACATCTGTAAAAGCCAATCTCTGCGTAAAAGGTGCTTTGGAAATGCGCGCTCTTGCATACTGAATTATGTGTGAAATCTATTTCGTGTAACTGCACGGTCTGTTAATTAAACGTTGTTGTTGTGTTTTTTCCCCCCTAACATCTAATTGAGCAAACCTCCCGAGCCTGAGATTTCAGAAGTAGATTTTGCCCCTGGCACACCCCCCGAGATAATTAACCAACCATCACACACTGCTACCTTACTTAAGCGCGCACTCGGGCTGTGTGCGTGGTAATAATAAGAGAGGGGACAGGAGACGTGTTAAGGAGCGCGCCAATGGAGAGTTATCGGAGCTGTCACACATCTCAGTTGGCTGTTCTCTGATGGAGCGCGTTCACTGTGAGCGGTAGGCGATTTACGTCTAATTAGAAGAACTGTGGTGTTATTACGCAGAGTGGGATGGATGACTTTAGTCCCTCATTACTGATTTATTCGATTTCATAATTCTGTGTCTGTTTGTTCAAGGACTTTGTGCAGGTGGTGGATTAGGCATTTTTTTCGGCTGGAATGTATATATGTGTATATAGATTTGATTTATATTTTGCAGCATATTCCTGATAGAAAAAAACATACTATTTATCTTTTGTAAATCAGTTTCAATGATGAGAGTGTATATAGTTACATAATTATGACATTAATTTAGGATTATGTTGCAATTTATCATTAGGCCTACAGTGTGCTTTAAGATAAGATCTTTCCAAAATTCTTTCCGTTTTATTACCTGAACGTTGGTTTAAAATTACACATTTTAAATTGTGTTACTTGGACTATTTTAAAACATTTTAATTGCATTCATAACATCTTCATAACTAAAATGAATAGATAATGAAGATGGATAGCCATGAATGCAAGTGGAAAGGATTTTATAGAGGTGATCTTTAATCATCCCTGATCCCGAGCCTGACTTTAGACAGGTGTCAGGCCTTGAGACAGGGGAGTTCCTTATAATAGACTTCCACAAATGGAACAACGATAAGACACGTTTTACCAGCTGCATTTACAACATTTCAGCCACGACTTTCTCATCGTTTTGTCTGCTTTTTTATTGGCCTCGCATTTTTCACCGTGTTCCTTTGTGTCAGGATCGTGCTCGGTTCAAAATATCACTTCATCTCCATGTTATAAATTAAATAAAGCAGAGAGCGGTGAATACTGCTGGAATGCAGCCAGCTCTGAGGCGGATTGTGGGGGGTATATATGTATATACGGGCATCAGGAGGAGTGAGAGAGTGGGGCCCCGTGGGAGCTGTAATGTGGCCCCCGCCGCTGGGACCCGCTGCGAGGACGCGACAGGGCACACGGATGACAGCAGGGAATTAAAAGGGATCCGTCTGGATGCTGCCCTGGGCTCAGCTTTAGGACCATTCCTCTCCGTGGCGTTTATTTATTCCACCTTATTTACCACAGGAAAGAGGGTTTGTTCAGAATCTAAATGGGAGTTTAATAAAATGAATGTCAGTAGTTAATGAGCGGAGTGCCCTTTGCCACAGGAGCCTTTACCTGCAGCAGAGCGGGCTAATGTGGACCTGTCAGAGACGCGTCCTTCACGTCTTTTGTCCTTCATTTCTAACTCTGTTTGTGTGTTCCAGAGGCGTGATGTTGACGAGGCTGTTCAGTGACCCCTCGCTGCTGCCGGACGTGCAGAAGTACTCGGGATGGGCCAACGACAGCGAAGGCGACGAGTCCAAGATCAAAGACGAAGACGCAGATGCACAGGACGACCTGGACTCGGACCTGCGCAGCGGCAGCCGCACGCACTCAGAGCACGCGGGGGACGACGACGACGATGATGATGATGATGATGAGCCGGAGGAGGACGAGGATGGAGAGAACGCAGATGGGGACAGGCCCAAGAAACGTGGCCCGAAGAAGCGCAAAATGACGCAGGCACGCATCGAGCGCTCCAGGCTCCGAAGGGTCAAGGCCAATGCGCGGGAACGCACACGAATGCACGACCTCAACTCAGCGTTGGACAATCTGCGTAAAGTAGTGCCATGTTATTCCAAGACGCAAAAACTGTCTAAGATTGAGACGTTGCGTTTGGCTAAGAACTATATCTGGGCTTTGTCAGAGATCCTGCGCTCTGGGAAGCGGCCGGACCTGGTGGCGTACGTGCAGACGCTGTGCAAAGGCCTCTCGCAGCCGACCACGAACCTAGTGGCCGGATGTCTGCAGCTCAACAGCCGGAACTTCCTCACGGAGCAGCAGTGTCAGGACGGAGGCCGCTACGCCTCTGGCTCCTTCTCTGTGCACTCGTACCCGTACCAGTGCGCACGCCTGCCCAGCCCACACTGTGCACCTGCATCCAACTCTCACCCACTGCGGACGCACGGGTACTGCTCTTATGACTCCCTGTACGGGGCCAGCCCGGAGTACAACAGCCCCGAGTACGAGGCGCTCAGCCCCCCGCTGTGCGTCAAGCACACGGGCTCCGCGTCCCCGGAGGAGAAGCCCTATCATTACTCTATGCACTACTCGGGCCTGACCGGGCCCCGGGCCACGAGCGCTCACAACCTGGTGTTCGGCTCCTCGGGGCCGCGCGCCGGGATTCACACGGAGAACGTGGTGCCGTATCACGACGTGCACTTACACCACGAGCGCGCGCCCGTCTACGACGAACTCAACGCCTTCTTTCACAACTAACGTCAGGACGTACGGCCGAATGTGGTCAGGGAACAGGACAATCCACTGCTGCGCAATAGAGTCTGAATCAGGCTGAAATCATGAAGAGCCAATCAGTGACGAGCTCAGAGCAAAGGAATCAGAATCAGAAGTTTTGAGCTGTTTGTGTCTTATGTGTTTCTGCTGTGACCGCAGCTCCCGCGGGTCACGGTCAAACAAACAGAACCTGAAAGAATATAAACTGTGAAACACTTTGTGCTTGGGCTGTTTTCAAATCAATCGTTTGGCAACTATGCAAAACCCGAGCAGACCGGAGAGGCAGAGACCCATGGGACTGTCACTGTTTCATCACTGTCCACGCGCACATCAGAACAGAAACCGACACGTTTGAACTTTACTTTGACTTTATTTCATTTATTGTAAACCATTGCACATTTGACTTTCTGTTCATCGTACGTAATTTATTTATTTATTGACCTGTTATTATCATTATTATTATTATTATTATTATTATATTATTATTAAATACCTATGATTGCACGTATTTATTGTGTTGTTTTTGTAACTAATGTTAATAGTACTAAAGGGATCCCAATGTGTTCCTCTGATCATTTTCTTTTTCATAACGATACAAGTCAAACTTTGTATTCAACCAACTGTGTGGTAAAATAAAACGTAATTGAATCACAAGGTGGGGTTGGACTTGTTATTATATTATTATTTATATCTTTATTATTATTATTATTATTATTGTTATTATTATTATTATCGGGTTTTTGCTTTAATATCATCAAAGGCTGCTTCTGGTTCAATGAGAACTAAAGTGATCGTTTAAGGCTTCCATATAAATAATTGACTAATGCAATAATTCGTTGGTGAAAGAGCCATATTCATTAAATGCATAATATTTGGCAAACCTTATGTCTAAACCCTTTGCATTATGGGATGCGTTGCGCGTGGCCAGGCCTCGTGCCACAACCCGCTGAGCTCTGGGCCTTCATTCAACAGCCCATAAGCGGCAGAGGACAGACAGACTCTCTCCCTCTTAAAGCAAACGCACCACAAATATACTTCCATCACTTATACACTTCTCATTTCCCATTCAATTTAACCTGTCCAGTTCAAAATACACTTTGCGAAAAAAAAAAAAAAAAAAAATGAAATAAACCCTTCGCTTTGCTTTGTGGACATTTGGTAGATCTAAGCCTTGCAGTAAATACAAATAAATCGCATTAACTCGAGCCATTCGCGTTGGTTCAAGGTCGTCTGCGCGATAACAGTGAAGGTCTAGTGCGCATTCTGACCATTAAGACGCAAAATGGGAGCGGGACGTGGATCAGCACCGCGGAGAGCTCCTTCGGTCTGACTTAAAACCTGGGCTGCGTCCAAAGTCATCACGCCGGGTGCATCTGGCAACATTAGGCTGGTTACTCATTACGTTTATACAGAGCTGGGCATGTTTGGAAGCAGGATTTTGGTTTCGGTACTGCAATACACGTGACTGTGAAAACTGTGGCAGAAAGATTTAGGTTTTTTTTCTCCCCCAATGAATTTGCCACAATTGTGCAAGATGATAGATAAAAGTAAGTTGCAAAAAATAACTGTTGGCTTACTCTGAAAATCAGTTTTGTCTACTTGCTGAGTTCACACATTTGTTTAAAAATGTATAGGCTATGCTGTGGTAGCAGTTTTTGACAACTCAACAACAATCCATGTGCAACAACTGAAACTACAGGGTGAAGAAAAAATGCTCTTCAATAGTGCTTTAAAATGCACAATACGTCAACGTTTCTTTGAAAATCACGTAAAATACATTATTGAATTACTGATATGGACATTGTTGATGTTAACATATTTCACAATCAATACACGTCTAATTTGTTTATTATATCCAAAAGGTTGTAACACACAGATTTTTATTTTACTTGGAGGACAGAACATATATATCCACTTTATGTTCTATGTACTATTACTACTATTAAACAAAACATATTGGCTTTTAAAAATGTATTTACAAAGGACTAAATGCGTCTAAACCAAATGCAATACCTTCTCCATTTAGGGATTTTAAACATGATCTTAATTCGCAAGTATACGTTATTATTCTAAACTGCCTGTGAAAATGTATGTCAAATTCTATACTCTCAATAATTCAATACAGTTTAATTATCTATAAGAAAAAAAAAACCTGGTTATTGTGCCATTTCCCCCCGTCTTTCACTCGGGCACTTCGCTCATGTGGAGAACTTGAGACAGGAATCAAGCCTTGTGATATCATGACACACGCGGTGACTCTTCTTGGAGCTGGGAGGACCGGACGGGGGGTGGTGGTGGTGAGGGGAGTTTGGAGCGCTGCCCCGGGACCCATATGTTCCCCAGACCCGGCCACACCAGACCAGGACACGCGGCTCCTCTGCGCGTAAAGAGAAAGTGAAGAAACTGCGCCTATTGTCACAGATCTGAGCAAATACAGACGGATCAGAGAGAGTGCGTGACCATAGCAGGTCAAGGCCAAACGAGCCGCCAGAAAACTTAAATATTCATCACTCAGAATCTAACAGTGCAACACAGTATTTGTAAATGAGCTCATATCTGATTTTTCTATGATAATTGACATGGAGAACTATTTTGATATAAGACTTGATTTTTATTGGAAAGTGCGTCATAGGAACTTCATGCCATAAGCCGAATTGGTTTTTTAATGCATATATTTTAAAACAAACATTAAAATTCAGTGTCAGTTTACCTCAAGGCACCAATGTATAGCAGAATTTCTAAACAAACACATTCTATACAGCGACCTGGCTTCCCAAAAACGTCTTATATATGTGTTAATATTTTGTTATTGATCATAGTAGTGCCATATATGTTATGCAGTTTCAAGGATTCACTTTTTGGCTATTTTTACATCACATTTCTGAAGAAAAAAAATAATATATATATATATATATATACTTCTGGTGCCAGTAAAAGATACCAATTCAAAATAATGACAAGCTTCTGAAAAATAATTTAGCAACAATTATAATGGTCATCTTTATAAAGCACCAACCTATTTAACGTTTTATTCCTGACATGCGCATTGGGTAAAGCTGGACCACTACTTCAACAATAGTGTATTTGTATTTGTCTTCACACTCAGGAGCCCACTTTTATCTTCTTTTTGAGGTCACACGCTTTCATGCAAAACGTTTCTCCCAACAGCGTTTTCCTTTGGCACCAGGCGGCTACCTGTAAACGGCCGCTTTAACGGGACCGTCCCGATGGGAATGTGCCTCAGCGCGGCTTTCGCTTTGCTCTCTCCAGGCCTTCTAACACTTAATATGACTGTCTTGGGCCTTTGCTATTTTTGGCCTCATCAATAAAGCGAGTCCAAAATAAATCCAAGGCAGGGCATCTATCAAAACAACAGCGAGACCCAGACTTCCTCCTCTCGCCTCGGTCCGGAGAGATTGGGGAGGAGAGGGGGGGAGATAGAGAGAGACAGGGGCTGGCAGGCGGGCGCAGGAGGACCGTGCCAAGTCCCTTAATGTTCCCCAGGCATCAGCAGCACGAGCCCCGCAGAGGACGACCCAGAGAGCGGCGCGTGTGTGCGTGCCAATGTGTGCCAGTTCACCGGGCCAAAGTGGCACTGCTGGGAGGAGCCGAGGTTCCTTTCCTAATTTTTGCAGCATCTGTTCATTATCCAGGGCGTTTAAAAAGGAGAGCGCTCGTCCCGACTGCAGACCCTCCGTCCAAACATCACAGAAGAGGTTTCAGACTGCATGGGTTTGGAATATGAATATGAATATGTATAATGTTGTAGAGCAGGAGTCATGGCGCGTCCCGGGAATTAAAGCAAACACATTTAACAAATACGAAGACAAGGAATTTTCATTTTTATTTTATTTTGCATTATCTAAGCTGATACAATTCTTATTCATATACTGACAAAAATGTTCTAACTCATTTAATATATTTAACTTGATGGAGGTCAGTAGAAGACAATATCCTCCATATGTCTCTTCCAGAACCCCATACAGTTAAATGGTTCCATCCACAATCATATGACAATTATATAAACATATTCAATCAAATATGCATGCATGAAGAGGCCCAACAGTTGTTTGTAAGCTGTCCTTTATTCAAGACTGTATAAAGTTGAAAAAGTTTCTCTAAGAGTCTTTCAACAAAAATACCTCACTTTTTGCATTGAGGTCATTTCACATTGAGAGAAAGTTGAAGAAAGTATATGAACTTTAAACATGAGAAATGATAATCCACAAAGGTGATTTCTCTCCTAATTTTGTACAAACTCTATCTTCCATAATACTGATTATATTTGAGTGATGGAAGGATTTTGAAAGATTGGTTGCATATATATACTTTTGGGAGCATAATTGAGGCTAAATAAACACGAGACATAGTGATGGAGAAAAATATGGTTCAGAAACCACACAAAGATATGTTTTAATTATGGGAAAAATATATGTTTGCATTTTTACTCTTTGGGGGAAAATGTTGTGTAGGGTTTTGGTTGACAAAAGCGAAATGTGCAGGTGAGTTTGGGGCTGTTTGAGATGAATGACAGAGGAGAACTAAGACTAAAAAGGTTGATTTGTAAAAATAGATCAGTGCCATTAGACATATGATATTTGTGAGGCTTATAATTAGCCCTATAAGAAAGTTTTTACAAAGCCAGATTTATTTTAGTGTCATACAAATAAAGTTTCCCCCCTTCTTGAGCAAATCCTTTCAAATTGACTGCCAATAACAAAACATGTCTGTCTGTTTTTTTAAATTCTTTTCTTCGATTGCAAACATGGCATTCCAATAAATATGCATTCATGTTTATGCTGCATTTTGAAGTATGTGAATTTGAATAAAACATGGAAATAGGAATAAAAAGTGACATGAAATATTGTAAAGATTAAATGAATCTAAAGCGCGTGAGCCATATATCTGTTCGGAGCCTGACACCGATTGGAATCATTACAGAAATGTGTATAAAATAGTGTTTTTTACATCCAAAGTTGTGAATG